CTGACAAAAGATATTATGCCTCCCTGATCTTGAGAGATGATACTTTGAGATGGTGCTGCTGTCTTGATGGAGCCCACCATGCATAAATAACTTTTCAGTTGTCCTCCAAAGTTAAGATAGGACTTCTGCTGTAACTATAAGCCTGGGGGTTTCCATCACTATTCGCAAGTGATGGAATTATAGTTGTCATATGTGAATCAGGGAATGTTCTCTTATGAAAATCACTCTCTTCACATTGAAACTGGAGCGTTTGGATTTTTATGTCTGCCATCCTATGTTTACTGAGTGATACTCAAGGGTCATTGCAAATATCCTATTACTAGGAGTCCCAAAAGTGCTTTTTCAAGAGGCAAGTGGACTTTCTTGTTTTTCTTTGAAGACATTTCCCTTCTCATCGAAGAAGCTTCTTCAGCTCTGACTGGATGGTGGGGAGTCCACGAGTCTTAAAGTTGCCATTCCCTACCATCCAGCCAGAGCTGAAGAAGCTTCTTGGATGAGAAGGGAAATGTCTTCAAAGAAAAACAAGAAAGCCCAGTTGCCTCTTGAAAAAGCACCATTGGGACAAACATGACCTGGATGATTGAGAATTTCCAGAAACCTATTACAAGGACTTCCAGAATTCCTAGTATAAAATAGAAGAGGCTAAAAGGAACCAAGTTTTTCCAGTTAAAAAGGTCCTGTTATCTCGCAAAACAAGCAGGCATCCTGTCAACCTAATATGTACACCTTGCTGATATGACCCTCTGATTGGAGCCTGTGGATGGCTTTGTCAGTACATTTGTCTAAAATAACTCTTAACAAGGCCATATCCTGCTCAGAGTGATTTATTTTGCCTTATTATGCCAGCGCAATCGGTTCTGTAAACTCAATTTGGCTCAGAAATGTCTTTAAGCAGCCAGGCTCAACCTGTTGCTTGATATGTATCCTAAATGACTACAACCTTGTCATACCCACAAAGTAATTGCTGGGATGAAGGGAACTATAAGTGAATCAGGCTTTATCTAAAGATTACTTTAGTGGTAGAAAAAGCAAAAAGTTATATTGTAGGTGGGAAGAAAATCTGGATTAAGGTACTACTTTATCCAGGTGAATAAAGGTGGATAAATCAGGATAAAGGTGCTGCTAGGAGCTGTGGTAGCTCAGTACAGTATTGCAGGCTAATTCTACTGACTGCAGGCTAATTCTACTTACCGGCTCAAGATTGACTCAGCCTTCTGTCCTTCCAATGGGTAGGTAAAATGAGGACCCAGATTGTTGGGGGCAATACGCTGACTCTGGAAACTGCTCAGAGGGCTGTAAAGCACTACGAAGCGGTATATAAGTCTAAGTGATATTACTATTGCTGTCCAGCATTAATAAACTATACTCTTGTGGAAAACGAAAGAACTCTTACGAATTCCAGAGGGGTTAGCAGAGAAGTTTAATTGCGCAAGGTCCAGAGCATATTAGAGATAGGCAATTCTGTGGTTTGTAATTCCAATTTCCCAAAGAAAAAAAATAACATGAATACAGGTATATGGTTGATTTTCTCCTTGAGCACTTTCTTTTTTATCCAAGTTCCAATGAATGCCAGTGTCACATGCTTAAAAATGGTGCTCGCTGTTTTTAATAATTGATCTTATCAGGTGCCCAGCGAAGAAAATTCCTGATGCCTGCAGTAGGGATGTGGGTGCCGTGACGCGAAAATTAGGACAAACTAGCAATAAAGTTCTAGATTTCTTTGCAGAATTGTACCATCTTACAGATGAAAATACCCAATAGGTTCACCAGAGGTGATTTATATCTAGACATTAGTGATACTAAGAGCCTGAGAGGGCTCCAAAATTTGTCAAAGCGCCAAGGAGTGTAATATACAATAGCTAATGTACTTGGTTGGAAAGCGAGTGAGCGAGAAAAAAAAAGTAGACTTTATAAAATAATGTAAGTTACTTGTAACTGGAATCATTTTGAATGTATACACATTCTTACTGTTCTAACAGGTCATACATAGGCCTGGTTACCTCAGGAAGGAAAGCTGTATGATGTGAAACATTACTAAAACGACAATACATTTCAAAATAAGGAAGAAAAGGATAACTCAAGTGAAAAATAAATGCTTTTCTTTAATAATCAAGTGATCATCAAAGTTCTGTAAACATTTCTGCTTAACTGCTTTCTATCAATTATTTCTTAAAATCGTACGTCAAAAACTACATTTAAAAAAAATTCTAATGACAAATGCATCTCAATTAGAAATTCCCTGGATTTGAGAGTGGGTTGAAATATAGCTTCCAAGTTGCCCAACGTTTTCTTCCATGGAAGAGGCTTGTCTTTTCTCTTGCATTTTGTTTGTAAAATTCTTTTGGGTTTTTTTCTATTTTGAAATAATTTTACTTTTGAACAGAAAATGCAATTTATTTATTTATTTGGCAGATCATTGAACATCAGGGGTGAGCTATTTGCAGCACAAAGCTACAAAACGTCTAATCTAAAAAACCCTTTGAAAGATATTCCATTATAATTTTAAGTGTAATGTGAAAAGTGTGGAAGGCTACAAAATACTGTAGTTCTTGCAGTAAAATTTTCCAAAAATCATGAGAAATGGTAAAAAAAAAATCTTCTAACTTTTTAGCTTGGCCTTATTAAACAACTCAGTAGATATGAACACCTACTGAGTGGATGCAAATTACAAAAGTAAGGATAAATTCTATTAAAATAAAGGGAAAAGTCCTCTTGATTTCAAAAGAAAAGAAATCCAACGTTACATGATTTTCGGAAAAGTGTATTTCTGGTTTTAACTTGGGCTTCTAATATAAATGTTCTATTTTATTTCTGAAAGAAGAGTTACTAAAGGTTCTTATTTTAAAAATATTCAGTAACTCCCCATCCAAAAATAAATTCAGTGTCTTAACATGAACTGAAACAGAAGATACACAAGTTTGCTATGGATGTAAAATGGGTATGTGTGTAAACAAATATAACAAGCTTCTAGACTGAAAACTACATGAAGAAAACAAGATATCAAAACCCATTTTCTAAATGGGAAGGCAGGAAATGGTATTTTGCATATGGATTTCCTTCTCTTGAGCACTGAAGGATTGCTCCATATTTCTGTGTCTTGTTTTTATTCTCTTCCAAATGATCAGGAGTCGTACCTATTAGATAAAAGCATTTGCAGAATTCGTTTGCAGAATGCATTGCTTTCCTAGGCGGTACTAAGAGTAGTTGATAAATATCCAGTCTATCAAAAACATTTCCTTAGTGGTTCAGCTGGAGTTGAATGTACTGCTGCAGAAAAACATCGGGGAAAGGTTGAAAAGAGTTAAGCACAGTTAAACCAGTTGAAGCACAGAAATACAGAAAATAAGATAAAGTATCTAGGACGGTCATTTAGTTAAATGGAAATGTAGTTAACTCTGATATTTTGAGCAGCTTAGCTTTCTCAGCAGCAAAATTTGCCATGTTTGTTTGGTTGACAAATATATAATCTGTCTGAATGCCTTATAAAGTGGCAGAATATAATATTTCTAGCGATAAGGTTTTACAAGATTCACACAAATAATAATTTTGAAAAAGTCAAACATATAGGCAGATCCTATTAAGAGTTTTACATGAATATATACTTTTATAATACACTAGAAAAATCAAAAGGTAAATTTTTACAAAGTTATTATTTATATTGCTCTTCAGAGTAGTCATATAATATTATAGTTTGATAGATAGATAGATAAGATATATATATATATATATAGATAGATAGATAGATAGATAGATAGATAGATAGATAGATAGATAGATAGATAGATAGATAGATAGATAGATAGATAGATAGATATACATATAGATATACAGTAATATATTGCATGTATTGTATATCACACGTATACTATATATTGCACAGGTCAGAACGAAAACTGAGAAGTTATTTACAGACCCCTCACATCTTGGTCATAAACTGCTTTGACTCTTCCCCTCGGGATGGCGCTACAGGGCACTGCATGCCAAAACAACAGGGACAGGTTTTTCCCTCAGACCATCAATCTGATGAGCACCTAATTCTCATAGTGCTGTCTAATGTCTATGTATAATTGTGGTGGCACAGTGGTTAGAGTGCAGTATTGCAGGCTAACTCTGCTGACTGCCAGCAGTTCGATCTTGACCGGTTCAAGGTTGACTCAGCCTTCCAGCCTTCCGAGTTCGATAAAATAAGGACCTAGATTGTGGGGGCTATAGACTGGCTCTGTAAACCGCTTAGCGAGGCTGTAAAGCACTATGAAGCAGTACATAAGACTAAGTGCTATTGTTAGTGCTATAGTTACACATGTAGTATGGCTGTAGTATTATCATTTAGTCTTATTATCTTCTTTACTCCACCGTTATTGAGATGATGATGATGATGATGATGATGATGATGATGATGATGATGATGATGATGATGATGATTCTATTGCTTTGCATGTAGACTGAGAGCTTCTGCTCTGGAGACAAATTCCTTGTCTGTCTAATCACACTTGCCAAATAAAGTATTTTATTCTATTCTATTCTATAAAATATTAGCAACATTCACAAAAAGTATTGAGAAAAAATAGATAAAAGGGGCAGTGAAATCCAAGACAGTTAAAGATGTGAAAAAAATAGCTTTCCACTAATTCCATTGTTAATAAGCAGGCAAAAAAGCTTTTGAGTTTCCTACCTTTCCCCAACTATTCCCTAGATAGAATCTTATTCATTTTGCAGCAAGGAGACTTAGTAAACTATCAATTGTTCTTTCTTCTTTTTAATAATTTGAGTGGTGCAAAGCATCAGTGACATGGCCAATATACTACTCCTGGAACATTTTTCTAAGCAAAATATATAAACCAGCTTTTGCATTTTTTGCTAACAGGGTTTAATTATATGACTGCTGGAGAATTTTATCTTTATAAATCAATTATTGCTTATCTGATTGAATGCATTGTGAAAGGAATAACTGGTCTTTGACTTTAAATAAGGTATAATTTCAAGTAAGTCACGTAATGTTACCTACCATGCTAGGCAGAGTAATAATAAAAAGATGGTACTGATAGCAGCAACTGAGCTTAAAATAACAATAGTCAAATGCTGTATTGGGAATGATATATCTGAAAGAAAGAAAAAATAAAACAGCATTTACCAATTGTAAAACATGTAATGAACTCAGAAAATAAGAGTCTGTAACCATTTGAAACACACACACACACACACACACACACACACCTTATGCTTTGTTTTCCCATACTTTGCAGTGGGAATTGCCCAGAAATCTCCCCTTTGATCTGCAATTTGCGCTGAACAAGCTGTACAAGTCAAGTACAAGCAAAAAACCATCATCAGATCTGCGTGTAGCTCTTTAGTTGTTATTTAAAAAAATAGGAAGAATATCAGAGATGGAGGCAAAGCTAAATTGAGAGGCTCCTTGTTCTGACATGAAGACCATCTCTTACATACAAAGATTAGATGCAATTACCTCCGAAAACAAACAAAAAACAACGATTCAAAAACCTGAACTGTTTCTGGGGGGGGGGGAGGAAAGTTCATGAAGAGATAAGCAAATAAATTTCAACATTTGCAACCACGACCAAATTACAACTTATAACTGCAAATGGTCCTCGATAAAGAAAAAACATTCCAGCAATCCACAAAAGATCTGCCCGCTGACAATTTCATCCTCATCGCAATTTCAATCTTACATCAATTGAGCCACTCCGCTGCATCTGATAAAGCGAGCTATGCCTTTTAATAACCTTTGTTAGTTGGAAAAAGATGCCATCAGACTCCTAATATTGGGATACAACAGGCTTGTAGCTTTCCTCCTACAATTAAATGTGACACATCATGGTCCATATTTAATAGACTGAGAGGGAAACTTTTGAGGATGAGGGAACCAGTTTTCAGAATAGATTTCTGTTGACTGGGGTCATTCAAGACATTTCAATTACAAAGCATCATTTGTAAAACACTTAAGTTATGCTACACACTACATCCTAAATTAGCAAACCACATTTTCACTTAATGTATTGTGTAGGCCTAGGCCTCAGTGTTCAGTTGAATGTGATTTGCATGTCAACATTTTAGCCATTGTCTATCCACTGCAGGGTGAAGGCTCCTTCCACATGTTTCCAACCTTTTGCCAATTGGGCCCTTACTTTTTTCACCATTGAATTTCATTTTGTTAGATAGCGCCCAATGTTCAAGTCTGTCAAGATCCTTCTGTATCTTCCAGAGTGTTGGCTATTCCTGCTAGCTTGGTGTTGTCTGCAAATTTGATGACTTCCCCATCTATCCCCTCATCCAAATCATTGATGAAGATGTCGAAGAGCACTGGGCCCAGAGCAGAGCACTGGGGCACCCCACTACACACTTCCCTCATAGGAATGTAGCTTGTTTAGAAATTTGTTATGGTGTTATTGATGTTAATGGGTCTAGCTCTTAAATCTAGATTTGCAACAGTGTGGGGTGATAATAAATTTAATAGTAGTTCACGTGACAATTTTTTTCCCTATCATTTTGTCTCCTTGCCTCAACAGTGCAGCACTATTTTTTCAGCAGAAAACCTACCTCTAATATGGGCCCATATTACACAGGACTGTGTTCTCATCTGAGGGGAAAAAACACACATAAATTTACATTATTTTTTTCTCAATACATAAAAACTCTAATTCTCAATAAGGATGGGCAGATCTTTAAATTTTAGAACACAGGCGCTCCTCACTTTCTTATATATCATCTTACATTTTTCTACCCAGTCTCACAATTTAAATTTAAAACTTTAAAAAAAAACCAATATTTGCATGCATTTCACAGAATTTCTACATTTTTGCATGGCACTCTGCCATAATATGCAAATAAAGCAAGAAAAAGCTATTTTTACATATTCATTTCTCCATCTTTTGGTATGCAGTTTTTCTTAGCATACAATAAATATTCATTAAAATGAAAATTAGAATTGATCTGATCCTTAGTTCCACCTGACCACAGGATGCTGAGATCATAGTAAAAGTGTGCCAGTTGCGATTCCGGTCTGACACCATGGGTGGAAGAAACAGGGGCTCCGGCTTCTTAGCCTGATTTTGTTCGGTCCGGCAACCCCCAATCTTATTTGATCACACATGATCTCTATCTGGAATCTTAAAACAGGTTGCATCACATTTCCTGCCCTGTACTTCTGAATTTATTTATTTATTTACCAAAATAAGGAAATAATACAAACCGGTCAACACAATATCCCAATATATCAATACTGAGTTGACTAACTATCAATTCAATATCATCTAAATTTGACTTTGGGGGATAGGGGAGAGGTCTTATAAAATGGGGGAGAAACATGGCCCTGCTCTTGTTCCCACACATCCCTGACAGTAAATATATTCAAAGTCTTAAGGATCTTGGGATTGAAGGTTTGATTGGTGATCCATTTGGTGGTCATGCTCTAATTATTGATTTTTTTAAAAAAAAAATATTTCACTTCATTTACCAACTACCTCATTCAGTGACCATTTGAAGTCATGATGGCATTGCAAACATAGGGGCTATGTCCGGTCCTCAACCTGTGGCTGTGGCAGTTCTCCCTGAGCTAATATCATTTCAATTTAACTGAAATTTTTAAAAATTTTAAAAAAGACAGGTAAATATCTTTCTATATTCTCAGGCTTTCTTATCCTCCGTAAATTGTTTCAATTGTTTTGCATTCTTCTAAATATTATACTCTTTTTGGCATGGTCATGTTTGAAAGCGTTTGTTTTCAATTTATTTTATTACCAACATCTATTTTGCAAGCTGCCCAGGAATCTGTTGAAATGCAAATATAAATGGAGCAAAAGAATGGGAAGAATTTTAACAATATTCTTACCCCGTTCCACTTGCTGACAGTCCTAAGTACAATACAGTATGCTTTACTTGGTTTCAAGGGAGCGTTATAAAATCCTCCATAATATAGCCGGTCTCCGGGAACAAAACTCAACCTGTTCTCAGGAATGCTCTTGGCCGAGAATTCAGCTGTCACATAGCTATCAGATTCTGAACCTTTGCTGAAGTAGGAGAGGTTGGTCAAGGAGTAGCAATTAAAGTTGCAGAGTGGAATCCCAGGAATGACAATCACTTGGTAAGAACTAGAAATAGGAAGATAAAAGCATCAAGTCATGCTAAGAATTGTTTTTATTGCTACTGAATTTTGCAGCCTAGCCTGACTTTCTTCAAGATGCTGCTTTCAATGTCAGTTGCTCAGATGGCCAACATTAAATGGTTTGTGTACACCTGATCCATCTTATTTGCAAGGGCTGCATTCCAGCCCTAGCCACAAGAGACAATAATAGCTTGACTAAATGTACTTCCTGCACAAACAAAAGTCATCTGCCTTTTGTGCATGTGCAAAGTAACAAAAACAAGCCAAAACTTATGAACATACGAAAACCTCTTTTGTGGATATCCGGTTGCATTCTTTTTTTTTAAGTGTGGATATATAAAACTGCAAGTAATAGAACAGTAGATAATATTCTAGTAAAGCAATCTAAAATCCTAAGCACCTGACCAATACATGTAGTCCAAGACTTACGATCACAATTGAGCCCAAAATTACTGTTGTTAAATGAGACATTTGTTAAGGGAATTTCCTCCATTTTACGACCTTTCTTGCGACAGCTGTTAAGTGAATCACTGTGGTTGATAAGTTAGTAACACGGTTGTTAAGTGAATCTGGCTTCCCCATTGACTTTGCTCATCAGAAGGTCGCAAAAGGTGATCACATGACCTTGGGACACAGCAACGGTCATAAGTATGAACCAGTTGCCAAGCGTCTGAATTTTGATCACGTGATTATGGGAATGCTGCAAAGGTCATAACTGTGAAAGAAATGGTCATAAGTCACATTTTTCAGTTATAACTTTGAATGGTTACTAAATGAACTGTTGTAAGTAGAGGACTGTCTGTACTAATGAAAGCCAATTAAGGATTTGCAAAGAACAAATAACTGTAGAACTTTCACTTGGAAAGGCCCTGGGCTACAGAAGAAGCTCACATATTACTGGATATCTATTTTGCGTAATGCATTTCTATGTTGTCCAAATGGAAATACGAGCCATCTCTCTGTTCTGAAGGCCTAATTTAACTGAAGGCTGGAATACTTGGGTCCCTCAGTGATGCTTACATGCAATGGCTACAATTTTGGACATAAACTGAGGACATTAAGCATCAAATCAATTAAGAAGCTAAAGAAAAAGTTGCATTAGAAAGTTTTGATTTTAGAAATGTGTTTAAAGGAAAGTTTAGCAGTTTAATTTATTTTATTTATTTTTATTTTTTATTTTATTTATTAAATTTATATACCGCCCTATCTCCCTTATGGGACTCAGGGTGGTGAACAGGCGATACTAAAAACCACGATAATAAATAAATAGTTTCTGTTCTAAAATCGAATTAAATAATAGGCCTGTTCTAAAAACACACCCATACAAAAACCCCCACTGAAACATAATCAAACTACGCCAGGCCGGCCGCACGGAATAGATGGGCCTTCAGGGATCGGCGAAAAAGGTGCAGGTCCGCAACTGTACGTAGGTCGGGGGGGTAGGTCATTCCAGAGGGCAGGAGCTGCCCTTAAAAAGGGTAAAAAGGAAAAAGAGTATTTTTCGCTGTAAGGTCAACGAACCTGAAAGAATACAGTGAACCTTGTTAATAAAAATGGTGATAGTTCACAAAGATTATTAGGCGCAAACAGAAATACACACTATTTCCATAGCAAGGAAGATAAAGCAGGAATGAGTACACTGTTCGTTTTATTCAAAGAGGAGAATATATTTAAGTACTTTTTTCACTTGTATATCACTTCTGGATTTTGGGAGTGTGATGAAAAAAAAATGAAACGTTGACTTTAGTTTTGTCGATCAGATAGCTTTGTCGTTATAGAAATGGCTAGTTATATACTAATGCAGGGGTCCCCAACCCCCAGTCTGTGGACCGGTACCGGGCAGTGGCATGCCAGCAACCGGGCCGCACAATCAAGCAGCACACAAAACCATGTCCCCTCCGGTCCGTGGAAAAACCTCTCTCCACATAACCGGTCCCTGGTGTCCAAAAGGCTGGGGACCTCTGTACTAATATGTAAAAGCAAAAAGTTGAGGCTGGAGTATTTTTATCTTATATTGTGCTAAAAAGAGTTGGAAGTCAATGTGTTTTTTTTTTCTTTTTTCCTTTGTATCTCACCTTTTTTCTCTCCCCCTCTCTTTTTCCTTCCCCTAATTTCTTATTTCTATTTTTCTTTGTATTTTACATATTAAATAAATATAAAAGATTAAAAATAGAAGGATCAAATCAGTTGTGAACCTCACTGGGTTATTTCAATGAACAAGATTAAACTCCCCAAATCCACTTTTGCAAAGAAGCAAACTTGCCCTTAATCCGGTAACCAGCACTGCTAAAAAGCATTCTGAGACAATGATACCAGCTTACCCATTCCAACAACAGCCTCATAGAAAACAGCCCTTCTTTTTGAATGCTGCCCAGACTTCATGCAATTACGCTGAGGTGCCTTATACAGGTAGTCCTCGGCTTACGACCACAATTGAGCCCAAAATTTCTACTTCTATGCACCTTGTGAAGTGACTTTTGTCCCACTTTATGGCCTTTCTTGCCACAGTTGTTAAGTGAATCATTGTGCTTGTTAAGTTAGTAACACAGATGTTTAGCGAATCTGATTTCCCACACTGACTTTGCTTGTCGGAAGCTTACCAATGGTGATCACAGAACCCTGGGACAGGGCAACCGTCAAAAATACAGGCCAGTTGCCAAAAACCCAAATTTTGGTCCTGTAAACATAGGGAAGCTGCAATGGTTGTAAATGTGAAAACCAGGTCACTTTTTTCAGTGCCGTTGTAACTTCAAAAGGTCATTAAATGAATGGTTGTTAAGTTGAGGATTTAACACTTCCTTGAACGATAGTGATATTTGAAAGGAGAGGAAACAAAATAATCAAAGCCAGTAACATTAAAACAAAACAAAACCAAAACAATTACATGGAAGTAAGTGTTGTTGGGTGTCTGAAATATGTAGCGTAAAAGCCAGAGACCTGATTGGACCATTTCTTCCTTCAGCTTTCAGAAAGCTCAATAATGGTATAAAGTCTTGTGCTGATCTGAATTCTACTTGTGGCGATGGTGGATCTAAAAAAAATAAATACACGGTCCTTATTATTATAGCATTTTTAAAAATTTATTCATTCAGCATTGATTCATTCATTCTTTTTAAAATTTCATACTCTTCTTCATTAGGAATCCAAACCAACTTGCAAGCAGCAAAATTAAATCATACCAGATCTGGCAACAATAAAATAGAACAAAAATACTGTTAACAGAAAATTCAGCTTTATTTATAAAAATGAGATTAGTCTACACCAAAAGATTTTTTTATCTGTTGGCTGAAAAAGCCAAGCCTGCCGGTACTTTTGGCAACTACTGTCTATTCTCCCAAAATGCCTATCTCCTCATACAGGCCCCAAACCTCAGTCCTTAAACTCTATATGAAGGGGAAAAATGACGAATATTTCTCCTCGACCAGAAGTTTTCCCATTGTCCCAAAGCTTTAAAAAACCCAAACAGATGTAAATTACATTTAACAGCACGTTGTTATTGGGAGAAAGCAATCAGTAATGTTTTATATACCTTTATTAGTACCTAAAATGCTGCCAGTATGCATTTTATCATTATTTGGTCCTTGTCCTATAAATAAACTATTGACCACCATTAATTCTGTTATGCGTTAATAATTATATCCATAGGGCACTCTAGAAAGACTCAATATACCTGATGGATTCAGCAAGATTACAGATGGCACTTGAGGAGTTTCCCAGTGACCTGGGGGAATATTATTTTAATTTTAAATTGTTTTCGGTACCTGATATATGATAGGGATGAGTAAAACTCACTGATTCAAAAATAAAATATTGCGCAGAACTCTGGTATGCTCTGTTTCCCTTCTGGACCAATCTGAACTCCTCCTGAATCACTAGTAGTTTGCCCAACCTGTGGTCTTCCGGATATTTTCAAATTCAGTTTATATAATTTGGGATGGGAATTTTGGAAAGAGAAGAAACAGGACAGATAGTTTGATGTTACAACAGACCTCCCCAGAGCTACTTATGACCCAGTGTCAAAGTTCCAAAGGCTGCTCTCCCCACAATCAATGATTGAATTTGGGGTGCTTGGCAACCGGCCCGCATTTACGACTATTTGCAGCATCCCACATGAGCATAATTTACAATGTTTTTTTTGCTGGAAACGGGCCTGCTTCACAACTATGCCCAGGCATGGCAAGCATGCTCATTAATAAGGGATGAAGAGCCACTGGAGGAAGGACTGTTCAACAATAACGCTCCACTTTTATTAACTTTTAAAGATCTTCTACCTTGCTTCTTATGTACAAATAAGATTCCTGGTGAGAACAGGTCGTGTTTGAGGTCTTATTTGTGCAGAAATATTGAAAATGTGTCTGTATATAAAATTATTTAATCAAACATGGAAGCAAGGCTCTGGAGAATGTCAAGTATATTCAGTTGCTATAGATTCTCATACTGAAGGAACCACCTCGGGATAAGAAAAACAAGAAAAAAAGTGTAAATCAAGGCATTACCTGCTAATGGGATGCTCAAATGGAGGGGGACACTATGATTTAGGTCAGCAGTGGAGATATTTACAGTGTAATTGCTGCCTGAAGATAAATTGAGGCACAATTCTGGATTCCATGAATTTGTGGTAAAGTTAAGAATCATTTTATGACTGAATTCCTCCTGATACCAGCGTAGACCCACTAGGTGAATCTATAAAAAGAAATGCATAATTAAACATATCTGACACTGTGGATTATGCTGTGAATCAAACAGGTATGACACTAATGGACAGTCTAAATATAAGTGTACTGAAAAAGTGTCTAATTTAATAGAGAAAAATTGTATACAAGGCATGATGGGTAAGACGTTTTCCGTAACCTGATGCTTCCTGATCAATTGGGACTACAATCCCCAGCCAACATGGATCATTCCAAATCATCTGGAAGGTATGGATTGAGGAAGACAGGGGGAAAAACCCAGAAAGTGCCAAACTAGATAGTAATAGCACTTCGACTTATATACCTCTTCATAGTGCTGTACAGCCCTAACAGGTTTATAGAGTTAACATATTGCCCCAAACAATCTAGGTCCTCATTTTACCGACCTTGGAAGAATGGAAGGCTGAGTCAACCTTGAGCCGGTCAGGATCAAACTCCTGGCAGTGGGCAGAGTTAGCCTGCAATACTGTACTCTAAACACTGCACCACCATGGCTCTTGATAAGTAATCCATGCCTTGGGCCTTATTTCAAAATTCTTGAAAGTGATTTGTTCAGACTTCTGACAAGAACAATCCACCAGGTAGAGAGGAAAAAGTAAAAAGATCAATTTCACAATCCATGATATGCATGCATGAGCAAGTTAAAGGCTGCATGTGCAAATCATTCACCAGACCCAGGAAGCACACAAGGCCACTCCATTCCCCCCTTCACATGTTTCTGTGTCAAGAGATAGATTGTCTTGTTCTTTAAAGGCTGGCAGGTGCTATTGGGATCTGTAGTTCTGCAACATCTGAAGGGTCCCTGCTTTATACCTTACAGGCCTATACAAATCTTGATACAGTTTACCACAATCTACGAAGGAAAAAGGCATAACATAATAGTTTTTCATAAAAGGTATAAGAATACTTGTAATTCTATGCTATCGGACAAAAAGACTTCAGTCAAAATGAAACGTCTTTCCTTACATAAATCTACATTACTCCTACGAGTTCTCAACTTATGACTGGTCACTTAGCAACTCTTTGAAGTTTTGACGGACCTAGAAAAAGGAAGTTCTAACTTGATTCTGATGGTTGGCCCCATCTCCCATGTGACTACACTTCTGCTTGGTATTTGCAGCAACCTGTAGTGATGCGACTGTGTTTTTATGACAGTTTTGCCACCAAATCACGCCATAGTGTGATTTGCTTAAAGACACTTGTGTTCATATAACAATCACTGCAAAAAAGGTCACAAAATTGAGTTGATCACATGACAACCCAATTTATGACTGTAACAACATACAACCATAACGGGCAGGCTCCATTACAGTTGTATGTCAAGGACTACCTGTATTTCCACTTCAACTTCTGAAGTGGCAGCTAAAGAGCTACCAAAATCAACAAAGTCTATGACTCTGAAGAGATAATGGGCCAGTCTGTGTATTTCAGACAACAATGTCACCATCAAAAGATGTGTGAAAAAAAGTATTCCTCAAAGTTTTTCCATTATTTTCCATTCAGTTACAACTGTGCCTAACTTACTAGGTAGGTTTCCTCAGTCTGTGTTCTTCTTGGGACTCTCTGCCATTTAATACAGGTGTCATTAAATATGGAAATGTTGTTGAATACTGTCTTTTCTGGAAAGAAAAAGGGAAGGAGAAAACACTGAAACTAAATACAAATATTATTTTTATTAGAATTATTTATTAATAAAGATATAGCATTAATATATAAAAGCATAGGCCTGGGGCCAAAACAACTGGTAAGTTAGAGCTACTCTTCTTGATTCTCATACGTCTTTTCAGATCAAAACACTGAAGTGCAGAGAAGATGTTACTGAAATATAATTCCCAAAATTCTAGCCAAGACATTCCCTATTGGCTGCTTATCTTGCCTGGTTACTTCTAGATCAAAAGAAACTGCCCTTCCTGTCTCTAAATACCACATACAGTATACTTATCCTCCAGTCCTATTTGCTCTTTTGCTCTATGGTTTTCTCAGCCTGTGAATGTATGTTTGATCCAGTATTTGAAATGTTTTTTTCCCTTTCTGAATCATATTCTGAATATTTGGTTCCTGATCAGAAGTAGTACTTGTTTTTTAAGTAAATCTCTTACACGAACCTCTTCTTGAGTTCAAGACCCAATTCTAACTTCATTGAAGCGTCATTACTTCATTATTGTTGTGCATAGTGCTTTAACTTTGCAATTTCTCAAGATTTCTTTTCAATCCACAGCATTCCAAGTAACATTTTAATTCTAGTTCCATTCACTCATTGAAAGCTGGCCACAAATTTTAGTTCTTACATTAATGGATTGATTAAATGCATTAAGTGATTGCATTAAATTAATCACTGAGTAACAATTCACCATTCAATAGACAAGGAAGAGAGGAGAGGAGAGGAGAGGAGAGGAGAGGAGCGGAGAGGAGAAGAGAAGAGAAGAGAAGAGAAGAGAAGAGAAGAGAAGAGAAGAGAAGAGAAGAGAAGAGAAGAGAAGAGAAGAGAAGAGAGGAGAGGAGAGGAGAGGAGAGGAGAGGAGAGGAGAGGAGAGGAGAAGAGAAGAGAAGAGAAGAGAAGAGAAGAGAATTTCTCCTATTTGCACATTTTCTGCAAGCAAACAACCTTTCAGGTTTAGACAATATCAAGGATTGCACAGTTTAATATTGAGTTAGATATTCTCTTTTCTTGGAACCACATATGGGCATCAAATGCTTCAGAAAGCATGCAAATGAGAGAAATTTGCATGTAAGCAAACTTGCATCAAGGAACATCTATTCTTTTTGCATAAATATCTAAACAGAGAGCAAAGCCCATACTTACTGAAGATGTTACCTAGTTGGATAATAAAATATCTGCAAACAAACAACCAGTTTCACAGAACACCAAGAACTCCACAATTCACTATCCAATTTTGCACTGTAAATTCTACAGTATATTTCAGCCAAACTAAGTACCACCTAGCTAATTAATCTTGGTTGATCTTGAAAAGCACTGGGCATGGTTATATACCAGGATAGGAGATTACCAAGCTGTACCAGGACTATAGAGTGCATTGGAAAGTTGAAAAAACATCAAAGTCAATGGCAAATCACAGGAGTAAAGCATGATTAAATGCAAACATTACCTTTACCTTTTAATTTTGTTAGTAAAAAGTGTTCATGTTCTTTAAACAGAAACAATGTTGCTTGCCAAATCTTATTTGGTATCCTCCAAAAGTGATAGAATTGCACAACAATATCTGGGTTATTTGGAAATACTATATTAATAAACCCTGTAGTGCGGTTCTTGTCATGTTCATTGTAATTTTAAGTCACAAAGAATGGTTTTTTTTCTTCAAAATTATCTTAGGAAGTATTCATACTACAATGAATTGATGGAATAGTTGCTACCATTTCCCAAAGAACTCTAGAAATTATAGCCTTAGAAGTAGAATCTAAAGCTCTCTAAGAGACATAGACTTCATTTTTCCAAGGCAATTAATTATTAAAACTGTCCCAAATTGCACAGGTATATAAAAAATCAAATATGGGATCATCTTTTACATACAAATTTAAGAACATGGGTTCTTCTCCCTCCCAGGCTGCTTCCTTTACCTATTTGCTTCTAAACCACTTTGTGTCATTGTATGTACATTTCAGAATCACATTTCTATACAATACAAACATTTTTTTTCCCCTGAGAGAAGTATCAACATCAGTGCAATATACTGGGGAAAAAATTGAACTTCCTTTTCTTTCTTATTACCACAAGATCTGGAAGAGTAGTTTGTGTACCACAATAATAATTTAAGGCAAATTTTCTATTTATTACTAATGTTAATATTTTCTAGAAGTACAGAACCTACCAGCCAATGGATGAATTACTGGATGTGCTATTCTCAACCGTAAAAGCAAATTAATGGAGTCTGCAATAATTTCCACAGTGTAATTTGTGTGTTGCTGTAATTGCAAACACACATTTACAGCCAGCTCAGTGGCAGGAGGTTTGATCAACATATCTGTCATTTCCTTTGATTCATTTCCTAGCATCAACACAGTAACCTGTTAGCAAGAAAAAAAGAGAAATAAATTCTAAAAAGCAGGAGTCTGCGGTCTATCTCTATAATGTAATATTTTTAAATTTTCAATTCCAAATCTCCAGAGAATTCTAGAGACTGTAGTTCTGCAAAACTAGCATCACAATACAGGTTCCCGAAGTTATTCGAAGAGAAAAGTTATGGCAATTGGTTAAATTGCGTGACACTGAGTTGGGCTCAACTTTTGGTACATACATGGATGAAGGCTCATCATCTCTTTCTGTAATCTGCTTAACCCCATCCACTTGCTATCTTTCCCTTTCTCAAATTCTCTCAGCCTTGTCAAGCATAGTCACTATTTTCACACCATCTGCACAAAAGATCACTATGGGTTTGCTCAGTGGTGGGATTCAAAATGTGAACAACCGGTTCTCTGTGTGGATGCTGCTTCTGGAAGTCCATTCTAGGCCTGGGCAACAAAAAATTAGCTACCGGTTCTGCTGAAATGGTGCGAACTGGCTGAATCCCACCACTGGGTTTGCTTCATGCCTTCCTTTTTTGCTCCTACAAGCAAGGGTAACTGTATCAGAAGCTCATACTCCTGCTGGCATCACTCTCAGAGCTACCCTCATGACATTGAACCCTCTGACCACGGAATGGGACAACTCGCCCGCAGCCAACTCGCTGTGGCGAACTCATCACGGTCAACTCACTGCGGGACAACTTGCCACGGGACAACTCGCCATGGGACAATTTAACAATTCAATTTAATTATTTAAAATAATTTTTTTAAAAAATATGGATTTAAACTATTGATTTAATGAAAAAAATGACAGACAATGTAGAATACTGGAAATTTCACTTTGTAAGACCGTAAGAAAACGTATCCAAGAAACAACGTGTCAATTTAATGTGAAGCTTGTGAAAAAGGCAATTGAAGAAAACAAAGAGATCAACAGAGCAAAATGCAAGCCTATAAATATATGAAAGAAGGCTTTTTGCATTAAAACGTGAAGATGGCTTTGTGTGCAGAACAAAACAGGCAATATTAAAAATAACTGAAAAATTCTATACACAGCTATACAAAGATCAAGATCACTCAAAAGTAACAACACCCACGAAAGAGGAAATGCCAGCTATCCTGGTGAAGGAAGTATCAAGTGCCATAAAATCAATGAAAAATGGCAAAGCTTCAGGAAATGACTGTGTTACGGTTGAAATGCTGAAAACTGGTGATCACAATTTACATGATACTAGCAAAATTGTATTTGAGATGCCTCAGAGAAGAAAAAATACCCGATGCATGGAAAAATACTGAAGTGATTCTTATACACAGAAATGGGCCTAAGATGATTTAAAGAACTATAGCCCAATAAGCCTTCTTTCAGTCATCTCTAAGGTTTTCATCAATTTAATAGCAAAAAGAATATTGAGAACATTAAATGATGCACAACCAAAGGAGGAGGCAGGGTTTAGAAGTGGCTACAGCACAATGGATCATATCCAGATTGTTCAGCAAGTCATTGAAAGGCACGTACACCATGTCTCTGTGCATGGCTTTCATCGACTACAAAAAGTTGTTTGACTCAGTATTCCAGCAAGCAATAATTAATGCATTGCTCAACCAAGGCGTAGACACTGCTTACAAAAATTTTACTACAATCAATATATGAAAAAACACTGGCAACAATTTGCCTTAATGATCCTAAAATGGAAATCAACATGGAACGAGGTGTACGACAAGGCGATACAATATCACCTATCCTTGTCTCAGCCTGCCTTGAAGAAGTATTTCGCAAATTAGACTGGGCAAAAGATGGAATAAAAATTAATGGTACCTATTTAAATCACTTAAGATTTGTGTGATGTTGTTCTCTTCTCACAGGACCCAGAAGAGCTACAAAGACACATACAGGAACTGTACAAAGCAGGAGAAACCATTTGGCTTAAAAATAAACCTGAAAAAGAGCCAGGTTATGTTTAATAAATTCACCAAAGAAAGAAAAAATATTATATCTGGAGAAGAATTAGACGTAGTAGACCACTACATATACCTTGGCCAATGAATCTCAATGGAAAGTGATACAATAAAGGAAATTGAATGACGTTTAAATGTGGTTGGCAGGCATTCAACAAGCTAAGCATAATTTTCAAGAACAACCTCCCCCTACACCCAAACAGAAAATTTTTCGATCATGTTCTAACATATGCCGGTGAAACATGGATACTAACCTCACAATCAATACAAAAGCTACGAGTAGCACAAAGAGTCATGGAAAGATACATGCATGCATTAAAAGAGAAGATCGAAAGACCTGCATATGGATTAGAGAACAAACAGAAGTATATAATATCATCAAGAAAGTAAAAGAATTGAAATGGAAATAGGCTGGTCACATAGCAAGAAGACCTGATGGCGGGTGGACCAAGGCAGACACAGAATGGATCCCACTTGATAAAAAGCGTCCACGAAAGAGACCTAAAACAAGATGGATCGATGACATCGAAGAGTACTGCAGGCCCAATTAGCAAAAGAAAGCTCAGGCCTTGTGGGTTGAAAATATGTGGAAGAGGCCTTCAGCTTGCAGTAGATAGATAATGGCTAAAATGATGATGAAATAAAAAAAAATTTAATTTTTGTCATCCACATTTCATTCTGTCCCTCCTTTTGCATCCTTTCTTTAATGATTCTATTCCACCATGTCTTTGATTTTACTGTAACTCTTGTCCCGCAGCGAGTTGTCTTGTGGCAAGTTGCCCGCGGCAAGTTGGCTGTGGTGAGTTGGCTGTCCCTGTCCACGTGGTAATCCTCTGGGAGGGCATGGCAATTAAATTGGCAAAAAAATTAAATGTTTTTATAATGTAGATATATTTTTATAACTCTGAAGACAGCAAGAAACTAGACCAAGATAGTAAATCTGCATTAAAAATGGTTTTTGTTTTACCAAAGCCTCCCAGTTTAGAAGTACAAGTACAATTGTCTCCAGAATATTTACGATGAATGCAGAACGATGCTATCCATTGCCCAGCTAGAGAAAATTATAGCCATCCAAATAGTTCCATTTCAAAAATTACTTGCCTTTATAACCAGCGTTTTAATAAATGTTTATATTGTGTGTAGAAAGTCTGTAGGTATGAGTGTATAAAGTGTTAGTAAGTAACAAAGACAATTGTTATCTTTTAAAGACAGAAAATATCAAATGTCTCACGAACTTGATAGGTTTCATTTACTCCAGCACTTCCGTAATGTCTCTTCCATGACACACAAGGATCTTTCCATGTAACATTAACAAAGTCTTGCACTTCTACAAGACCAAAAAAAGCATATACATTACTTAGAAAACTTTTAAGAAATAGTCATTTATCAACCAAATTTCTTATTTTTATCATGTACTGCTAACCAATTGTAAATTAAAATGGCAAGAATGTAAGAAGAGCAATCAAAGCCTTATCTCAGTGATGGCGAACCTTTTAGAGACCGAGTGCCCAAAAACTGGCCCCGCCCCCACTCCACCTCCCTGCTCCGCCCCCGCTCCACCCCCCACAGGACCACTCACCGCCTCCAGGGCCCGCTGCAGATCGCCCACGCAGCCCAGCAGCGCTATGGCGACCACACCCTCTGCCCGCGCCCTGCAGCATCAACTGCATGATGGAGTGTGAGGGCAGAGTCTTGTCTACGCTGCCTGGCTGCCATGTCCTTGGCTGCGCTGCTCCGTGTGGGCCACGCTCGAGGGCGACTCTCCTTCAGGGGGGCTGCTGGAGAGGAGGGGGTCGCAGGGGAAGGCAAGGCTGAGGCAACAGCACGTGTGCCCATAGAGAGGGCTCCGAGTGCCGCCTCTGGCACCCGTGCCATTGGTTCGCCACCACTGCCTTATCTTGTCCAGTATTGTTATTTTTTTCTTCTTTTTATGACCCTGTAGTCCCTTAATTCAGGGTAGAGTCAGGGCGATTGGATGGAGCTGAGCATTTATTGATTGGATATTTTTTTCTTTGCACCCTAAGAAACATCTGCTGCTACCTAGGATTAAACAATCAACCTTCCAAGTAGGAAGCAAGTGTCTTCACAACTAGGCCACCACACCGTTCATTCAGTATTCTGTTATTACTATTATTATTATTAATTAAACTCTTCCATGATGGTCAACCAAATGCCTATTAAAAGCTGAAAAGTTAGATAGTTCCCAACTTACGACCACAATTGAACCTAAAATTTCTGTTGCTCGGTGAATTTTGCCACATTTTATGACCTTTCTTGCCCCAATTGTTATGGGAATCACTACAGTTGTTAAGCTAAGTAACATAGTTAGCTGAATCTAGCTTCCCTATGGATTTTGTTTTTCAGAAAGTTGCAAAAGGTGATCACGTGACCCCAGGAGACTGCAACCGTCATAAATATGAATCTTGATCTTTTGTCCCTTTAAATAATGTAATATCTTTTAATTTTTTCTTTGTCCATTTTCGCAAAATTCTTCAAAGCTTTAACAAGCTTCTTTTGTTAATCCAATATAGGAAAATTAGCTAGGTGACTCTCTTAGTTATTATTTGTATATGCCTTTTAATGATTAAAACATGAGCTGATTTCTTTTGTATGTTCGCTGTAACATTTTTCCATATCATCCTTGTAGTCTGACATTTTTAAATCCACTTTCAAATCAGTCTCAATCATCTCAGGTAACACTTGTTCCTCTTCTCTAGCATCTTTTAAACACAACTTTCTACAGAGGCAAAAACTCTTAAAATTAATTTCTGGCTCCATTGTTCAAAAATTTCCTTTAGTTATGTCCAATGTTAAAATATTTTGCTTCATTCAGCATTTGTAAGTTTGAGTATTCTTCTTCTTTAATTGTAATCTTTAGTTCCTTCTAGTTCCCTCTTTTGTGTGAGTTTTTATAGCCTTATCTTAGTATGTTTTTTAAATAATTCAAAACCAAACCATTTTCCTATGGGACGTGTTTTTTTTATAATTAATTCCAAAATCTTATTTCAAATTTATCTGGACCCTTAGGTTGTTTGTAACTTTATAAAATCAACGTTTCAATCATCCATTTGCTATTTATTCCAGAAAAAAAAGTCCTTAAATTTGTATTTAAAGCTTATTTTGCTAAGGACTGAAGGAAACTTAACAATCCCAGCACGGTTAAACTTGTCGATCTAAAGTTTCCTAACAGATGAAAAGCAGTTAACAAACAATCATTGAAAGTGATTAGAACAGGAAGTAGGTGAACCCAGTGTCTGTTCAAAGGTGCAGACCGCAGGATAGCAAGATAGCTATTCCCTTGTCTCCTAGAGTTCTGGAGACCGTTGTCTTACAGTCTCCCTAGAAGAAGCAGCTGTTTGGAGCACTTGTGAGTGATCTCAAGTTCTTTCTTTGTCTGGGGAGGAATTACAAAGAGCCGATCTACGTGCTGGCTTTTTATTCCACTGCAGTTTTCAGTTAGCTTTTCATCGAGCAGTCTTCAATTCACCATTTCTTCCAACATGACTGAAAATAATTTTCTGGCCTTTTTCATGGTGATTATTAAGCAAATGCTGTGATGATTAAGTGAACCCGTTAATTTGAATGAATGCTTTTTGCTGAAACTGGCAAAAAATGCCAGAAGCTGGTCAAAAAACATCACAAATCACATGACTGCAGCCCAGCGTAAGTTATAACATGTTCTGGCGATGGCGGAAAGGAGTTTGAGAGGCAGGAGACAGGCATCCCAAACACTTTTTGCCCCGAAAATCGAGGTTTCTGGGCTCTGTGATCTTGTGAGAGTCCAGGCACCCGTTCTCTTCAAAAGAAGATGGGTGCCTGAACTCATGCAATTATTACGGCACCCAAGAGTTTCCATTGACTCTCCTCTCCCGCAAAGAGGCAGAGAGGAGAAACAGCAGCCGAGAGGATTTTTGCAAGGTAAGTGAATCCGGCATGGCAGAATGGGAGGGGGAAGCAGTTGTGGGGAACAGGGGAGGGACTAGGGTGAATGTTGCAGAGCCTCTGCAGCCATTTGTAAGGGCGAAAAACTGCTGTAGTGCTTCAACATTCATAATTTTGGGAGTTGCTCGTAAACAGTAGGGGGCGCTTATCGCATAACTTCGAACAAGCGCTAAGTGAATGCTCGTAACTCGGGGATTACCTGTATAGAATTTTCCTTCTCCCTTCACCACTCACATGCACACAGAAGAAATATGTCTTAGATACTACAAGAGTTTGGAAATCACTTCAAACTATTTCCATATTTAGGAATATAAAGTTCAAGTATACTTTACTGCAAATCAAACAGTAATTAAATTGATTAAACAAAAAAATCAGTAAAGATGAAGTTATAATGCCAATTAGTAGTATTTAAATGCAATATGCATTAAATATATAACTTAAAAGCACATTCTGCTTCAGTTTATAAATAAGTAATTACTTCTTATCTTCCAAATCACTAATCTAAAGCATGATATCAAACACCACAATTTCTTCCAGATCAAAAAGAAGTTCCAATAGGCACAGATATATGGCAAAATATAAGCTTCACTTTTCCCCACCACAATGAAACCAAGAGGTTTCCTCTGTGAATTATTGAAAATGAAGCTCTTGCAAGATATTGGAGTTCCAGAAGAATCATATTCTCTTAACTTCACATTATGTCTGTGCCCTGTTTAGTTTTAATCTGCAATACTAGATTTATCATATGCGTGCTGTTAATAAAGAAGGCCACTGGATGCCAGTATTGTTCTATTAAAATGCAAAAGAACAAAACTGTACCATTTAAAAAATAAACAATCCTTCTTTTCAAACCAGTCTTATAAGTAAGAAAATCAAAAAGTTTAGATGGTTTTAAGTGAAATTTTAATGGAAATGTTATGCTTGGATCCAAGAAGTTCTTGAAGTTTACAATGGAAATAAAAGGTACTATTGAAGAGGAAGAAACCCTACTGAATGAAATTGAAATGAACTTTAAGGTGGATTTAAAAACTTCACTTTATAAGAAAGAGATGGAAATACTGGATTTACAAATGAAATTGAATTATGAATTTAAAATGTTAAAAGATACACAAATAATAAACCAAAAGAAGGATGTGCATTATTTTTTAGAATTGGACTTTGTGAGAGCAGTTTCAGTGGGACTGCAAAAGGATTTTAATAAAGATGACAAGAATTCTGAAAGAAGCAAAGATACTATAAGAAAGTAGTTGTTGGAATTGTATTGGTGAAACTTAAAGATCACTGGTGGAAAGAAATAAAAATGCAAAATTGGTTTTACCTGATTGGCATTAAAATAATGGCCTGTTATCCCTGGTGATCTTTAATGGGTTTTTTTTCACAGGGATTGGATGATGATTGTTAGTTTTGGTAATGTTTAATAAAGTGGAATGGATTCATTTGTAAAACTATCTATTACAATATTTAATTGTTAATTGGGGTTGTATTTTGAGTATTGGAAGAGATAGTTGGGGCAAATTTGCTTAAGTGGAGAAATATAAATATTTAAGTTATTATTTCTGTTAAGTCTTAGTGGACTTTTCCTGATTAATAAGGGTAATTGAAAATTTAGAGATGGGTTTATAGAAAATTGGGTCAGGTATGGAATGTAGAAGTGTTTTGTATTTTAAGAGACAGTGATAAAATGTTAATGTTGCTAGAGATGAAAGGGGAAGTTTTTTCTTCCAATTTTTGCTCTCTCTGTATGCATTTGTGTGTGTATTTCTGCATTAGCTTTTTGTATTTCCTTTATTTCTTAAATGCAATTTTTAATAAAATTATTGGGGGGGGGGAATTTGGGATGGCAAATGTGTCATTGATAATACACTTCATTTCACTGTAGTTTAACTTAGTGGTCCCCTCTACAGTATATCACAGTGTAAAGTAATCTAATAAATTAATATTAACCCTGTTCTTAGGATATTGTTATTTAAAATTTGAGAGTCAGTGCTATAATTAACTACTAAATAGATTTTTTAAAAAAACCTAATCTGATAGCTGGTCTTATAATTTAATATATTATATAGCATCAGGCTATATAATATATTAAATTATTGTTCTAAATATTCACCTCTAGGTCTACTATGTTTGTCAAGAACCTTTTTGTTAGAATTATACATGACTATGTCCTTATGCATCTTAACTTGAGACTGTGTAGGCCTGCCTTTCCTAAACTGTCTGATTGAGGATGTTCAAAAGAAAAGACAGATTTAGCCTCAAGTCAAGCTCAATTCTTGACAATTAATATGGACTCATCCATGCATTTCCTTTTTAGGATGTCTTTTCTATTTCACTATCTGGGCTCCAAAATCCTAGAATTCTCTGGTGATTTTCCATCAAAACACTAACCAGGTCTAACCTAGCTTAGCTTCTGAATCTAAAAAGATCAGTCAAGGGCTGCCAGCTGCTACACACACACACACACACACACACACACACACACACACACACACACACACAGACTCTAAATGAATTCTGGGGAACTGGAAGATCTCTTAGAAAAACTTGAAATTGTAGCTCAGATATTTGGGAATTCAAACAAATTGCTTCTGTTCATAGATCAGGAAATACCTGTAATATCGTTCTCCTTCTGTTTTCAGAGTGATATTCCTACTGTAACATTGTGAATGTAACAAGGAAGTAAAATAAATCATGTATACAACTTCTAGAACAATCATACTAAGGATTTCATTAGGCACTTACTTTTACATCTTAAATCCAACATTTCCCAAGATCCATTTCTGGTGCAAACAGAATGACTTTTTGTCCCTGTGGAATAGAAACCTTTCATGCAGTTGTATTTTACGGTGCTTCCTGGATGAGTAGATCCATCCCATATCATGTTTGAGAAAGACAATACAGGAGGTTGGCCACAGGTGATTTCTAAATGGGATGAGAAGGAATTTTTATTAAGAAATACACTTGGCAATTCTATACTACATCATGAGGGTTTATTCCTTTATTTTAAATGGATTCTTTTTAACAGTCCAATATTTAGACTATGTTCTATAATTTGTCTCGAATTCCCACTAACTGTGGCAAGCAGGGTAAGGTGGAGAGACCACTACTATAAAACTCCCTTCTAATTCCCAGTCAATGGACTATAATCAGCTTTGGACAAGAATAAGCTTCCTACTTTGGGGATTGGTTTTTAAGGATAAAGTGGAAATAAGACAATGTAAAATGAATAATATCTATGAAAGGCGCACCATTGTCTGTAATTTTACAGCCCTGATCTGGTGACCCTAATATTAGCCTCATTTAGACATTTGTTACCTGGAGCCTTCAAAAACACCAAATAAAACTCCCCTGCAACCAGTATCATTTCAGTGGCACTGGCCACAGAGACACGTACATTCGGCATAAATGTTTGCAGCATGAAGCTACATTGGGTTTTATGTGAAGTGACAGAGAAAACAGTGTTTGAACACTTGTATACGTGAAGGCTTCCATGTTGCAAACACTTACATTCAGTGGGTAGATGGTTGCAGCAGTTAATGCTTAACAGTTAAACAATTAATGTAATGTTGGCAGGAAAATATGGTTGTCTGGATAAGGAACATCTGCCTACAACCAAAGATAAAATGGAAACTATGAATCAGCCATTGGAATGGATAGGATGAGAGTCATCTGCCGAAAATGTACTTTTCATGCAACCATTCTGATTCTAAACTAGTTACTGGTCAGGTTATCAGGCATGAACAACTTGACAATAATCATGAGACTTTTTTCCCCCAGAAAGAAAATTTTATTTATGATGTAAAAGCAGCCTCCTGGTACCATGACAATGGACAGGATGTGGGCAAGGTCACGTCACTATGTAGTGGGAATTGAATTTTCTGTTTTTTCCTATTAAGGAGGGGAATGTTTTTATATATTCAAAATATTAACCTTTGTTAGGGTATATGCTGCAGTTTTCAGCATTACTCTCTTAAGATTGTGTCACCAATTTTGGACCGTATGGTAAGAAGTGGCTCCAGAGGCTGGAGAAGAGGAATCAAGTATGATCCTAGACTTTGGGGCTGATATTTGATTTTATTCACCCATAAAGAATATTTGAACAAAAGTAACAGATAATATATTTACCTTTGCATTCAAAAGTAATGTTTTCCCATTTGTGAGATATTTTACATTGTGAAAAATTATGTTCTCCAAAAGACTGAAATCCATCTTTGCATTTATAGTATACGGTGCTCCCTAAAGTTGTGCTGTTATCCCAGATAATGTCTGCATTTGGCAGCCTCGGTGGTTTTCCACAGTCTATTTCTAAAGGAGATAAAACAAAAATATGAGTATTGAAAATGGAATGCATATCAAATAGTTTAATAAGAAACTACACGTTACATTGATTTGTATAATTGACTTCACGTAAATAGACCCTTGCCACTGCAATGGGACTTCTGTTTTCCATCTCTTCCTTCCCAAATCTGTTCACAAAATCTGAGTTATGAGAGAGCTGAAGGGAGGTATTTCACCAACATTACCCATGCCACTGATAAACAATTACCAATTGTTTAACTATTGTTTTCATTTAAGAAAATTCAGTACACGTAGTCTTTGACATACGGCCATTTATTTAGTGACTGTACAATGGCGCTGAAAAGCAACAAAGAGAAGAGTATCAGAAGAACAACAAAGCTGATTAGGGGGACTGGAGGCTAAAACATATAAGGAACGGTTGCTGGAATTGGGCATGTCTCGTTTAATGAAGAGAAGGACGAGGGGGGACATGATAGCAGTCTTCCGATATCTCAGGGGCTGCCCACAAAGAAGAGGGAGTCAACCTATTCTCCAAAGCACCTGAAGGCAGAGATGGAAACTAATCAAGGAGAGAACCAACCTAGAATTAAGGAGAAATTTCCTGACGTTAATGAGTGGAATGACTTGGTCCCAGAAGTTTGAGTGCTCCGACACTGGAGGTTTTAAAGAAGAGATTGGACGACCATTTTTCTGAAATGGTATAGGGTTTCCTGCTTGAGCAGGGGGTTGGACTAGAAGAACTTCAAGGTCCCTTCCAACTCTGTTGTTTGGTTATTGTGAAAAAAATGACTTATGACCAGTTTTCACACTTCTGACCTTTGCAGTATTTGCAGCATCCCCATGGTCACTTAATCAAAATTTGGGCACTTGATAACTGGTATGTGTTTATGACAGTTGCACTGTCCTGGGATCATGTGATCACCATTTGTAATCTTCCCAGCCAGCTTCTGTCAAGTAAAGTCAATGGAAGAAGTCAGATTGCTTAATGACTGCATGATTCACTTAACAACTGCAATAATTCACTTAACAATTGTGGGGGGGGAAAAGGTCACAAAATGGGTCAAAACTCATTTAACAACTGAAATGTTGGGCTCAGTTGTGGCCCTAAGTTGAGGACTATCATAGCTGCTTTTCAACTGAAGAATGTATCATTTATCATAATCCTGAATACAACTTTGGGTCATTGTTCTATCTATCACAACCAAACCCCCACACACACATTTTTTCCTCTTTTTAAAAAATTCTTTTTTTTTAAACAAAGATAATAGTCAGAAGTTGCTTTTATTTCTAGCTTCTGGGTTCAATGACATAACCAGATCAGTGTTGAGGAAAAAGCCCTTTTCCATGCCAAAAACATCATGGCCTCTTCAGCCAGCAGGAGATATCTTGAAGGACAACATGTCAGACTGAGACTATCGCATAGTCAGTGGGAACCACAGTCCTGTTTGAATTCCAGAACTTAAAAACAGAACTTAAAAGAACACATGGAAGAAAACATTTAAAAATTGGAACTGGAGATCTTAAAAAAAATTAATTGGGAAAGAGGAGGAGAAATGAAGCTAGAATTTAAAAGACTGGGTATAGACAGAGAGAGAATAGGCAGCACGCTTAACAGTTAAAGAGGGAGAGGCTGAGTTGCTGAGTGTCTTCTACTACAACCAATTCAATACAGTACTCCCAGAGCTGTCTAAATTTTTAAAGGACTTGCCACTATGGGGTGTGTGTGGGGGGGAGGACAGATGGTCCAGATGCACTGCAGTACAACTTTAAGTATATTTAAGGGACGGTAAGCAGGATGTGATGCATTTTCAGAGAGCTTTTAAAGACGCCAGTGATCCATAGGAACCGTGAGGCAAAGTGGATTCAGTAATGCAGGGATAGTGTCTACCACACATGGATATATGTTCCTTTATTGGCATATTCTCTGTATAATGTGTGCATGTCAAGTTTAAGCATGATTGTCTACTTCACAAGTACTCCTAAATGACATCAAGCTAGTTGACCTATTATATCTCTTTTAAACGGGCTACATGTCCTGTCTGCAGTTTGCACAAGTTGGTAGCTCAGGCACAGAATTTCCATCTTCTTAAACAGATTACAGACATTCTCAATCCACATCCACAAGTGAAGCATAGCTAGTGCACATGGCCAGTGCACAAGGAGTCAGCTTTCAACTTCTCTCTCTTCTCCCTCTTGTGCACTGCAAGTGTGAGTGTGGTGTTTCTCCCATGGACCCCAGTAGCTGCTCTACTCATGAGAAACCGCAAGACCTCCATTCTTCAGTATCTTTCTGAGGAGCAGCTGCTTGGAATTCAGATGGGCGATCTCTCCTTCTCTCCTTCATTTGGAAAGACTTTCACTGATCAGAAATCAGTGCTAGCCAGTGTTCACTTCACTGATCTGCTACTTCGGAGACAAAAGGTCCGCCACAGAACCTCACCTAGGAATCTCACTGATTATTTTTGAGGCAGAATCAGAGCAGAGAACAAAGTGAGGAGTTGAATATCAGGGCTAGGAAAAAGACATAACTAACACAGTTTTTCTGAGATTTTGATTAAAGTACAGAGAAATGAGCAGAAATCTAGGCAGAAAATTGTGTTAGGATGTACCTCTTTGTCTGTTGCTTCTTAGCCCTTATTGTCTCTTCTGATTATTTCTTATAGAAATAAGATATTTTAGGTCAACTCAGCGTTCCTTTCTATTCCTCCCTCAGGCTGTGACCAAGATGATTTATTGTTTTCTTCATTAATATCTTGTGGCCTGAAATATAGCAATAGCAATAGACTTATATACTGCTCTATAGTGCTTTACAGCACTCTCTGAGCAGTTTACAATGTTACTATATTGCCTCCAACAATCTGGGTCTTCATTTTACTGACCTCGGAAGGATGGAAGGCTGAGTCAACTTTGAGTCAGTCAGGATCGAACTCCAGGTTGTAGGCAGAGTCAGCCTGCAATACTGCATTCTAACCATTGCACCACCAGAGTTCTTATATAATCTAGAAGCTGTGTCTCTTCTAATCTTGTTTCCCCCCCCCCTCATTTTTACCTTTTAGTCACAACAGGCAGCACAGAAACTGAGAGATCTAACTGTCACACCCAGCAGGTTTAGAGAGAAGTTGCCAGGATAGGCACACAATAGAGTAGAAATGGTGGCAGTGTGAACTACCAAGTAACTGAAGGCTAAAAGCTGGGCTAGGATGCGAAGTCTCAGAAGGTTTCCAAAAGAGGAGATTCGATTCCAAAAGCTCAGTTATGCTGTTATACCCATTACTTCAATATAAATGGTATAAAGAGTTTCAGAAAGCTGCATGAAATATTCTGAAAGTAGCTTAGCACTAGCCATATTCAGATACCATGTTATGAAATATCTATTATATTTTACCCGTCCTCTCTCTTCTATTATAGCTATAATTAGGTATTGGGGAAATTCATTTCTGTGGTGATTAACCACAGCTTGTGTAAAAATTGGTTCTCAGACTGATAAAGATTCAATTGACTGTTATGTCAACAGCTAGCTGTAGACTTCTCTGTTATCAAGAAAGGGAGGCACCATGCCTTCAGTTCACAATAAGGCTATGAGAAACAGATTCAACAAGTCTTTGTCCTGATATACACAGAAAGAAATTGGTTCCACATTAAAAAATTAGTTCCCTTGCTGGAATTCTTATATCCCTATTCCTTTCATTCAAATAAATCTTGCTAAGTGAACTCTGAGAATTATGTTTGGAAAAGAATCATTTTCAGTTCATGCAATCAGGCATATTTGGAACAATAAACCATTAACTATTGTTAAAAAGTTAATGTTGTGAACTATTACTCATTAAAACAAAAGCAGCATCTAAATTTTAACTGAGCTGCACATAAAATTATTTTGTAGAGATTATGAGTTGACAACACCCTGGGTCTATCAGTAAAAACAAATTCCAAAAAGGCCGTAGTTTATGTAGCAATAATAACCAGTATGAGAAGGTATGCTTTATGCATATTTATTTGCTTTTTTATCTGTAGTATATTAAAAAAAAATCAAAACAGCTATTTTAATATTTAATATTTTAAATGCCCCAGGAAAGGGCATTTCTTAAGGGCATTTCCCTTAAGCTTTTTTGATACAGTTTTAATCCTATTAACTATTTTATACAGCTTTTGTGCTTTATAGGTTTAGGGATTTTTTTATATACATTTAATTTTTTTTCTACTTTATGAAAACCACCGTGAGAATATAACTGAAGCACAATATGAAAATAGTATGTAAACAAGCAAGCCTGGATCAGTATGTCAGAGCCAAAGAGTACACCGCGGGATATTCATTAAAAATAATTTTAAAATAACATAGTAAAAGTTGTTTTTAGAAATAAAGATAAATAAATAGAGCTGATGCTATCATTAGGCAGAGGGAGGTGTTTGCCTCAGCTGGCTGATGCCAGGAGAAGAAAGAAAAGGAATGATCATAAAATGCTATCTCTGACCTGCAGAGACAGCACAGTTTCAACCCTGCCAATGGGGAAGGATTGTCTCCTGTAGGAAAGGTAAAAGCCTCAATTATCATTACATCACAGAGAGATGCTGTCTAATGGTCAGCACTGAACTAAAAGTCAACTGCCAAATCATTTTGCTTCTCTAGGAAAAATTTTGGGGAACTCTCTCCTTCGCATTATAGTCTTAGGCTAGCCCAGTGATGGCGAACCTTTTAGAGTGTCCAAAAACCGCCCCTGCCTCCACTCCCGCCCCACTCCGCTCCGCACCCGCTCCGCACCCACAAGGCCACCCACCGCCTCCACGGCCCACCACAGTAGATCGCCCAGGCGGCCCAGCAGCGTGGTGGCAGCCACGCCCTCCGCCCATAACCCGCAGCATCTGTGTGCGACGGGGCGTGAGGGCGGAGTCTTGTCCCTGCTGCCTAGCTGCCATGTGCTTGGCTGTGCTGCTCCATGTGGTCCGTGCCTGGGGGTGACTCCCCTCCAGGGGGGCTGCTGGTGAGAAGGGGGCCATGGGGAGAGGCGGGGCTGGGGCGACAGTGCGTGTGCCCACAGAGAGGGCTCTGAGTGCCGCCTCTGGCACGCGTGCCATAGGTTCGCCACCACTGGACTAGCCTAAGCAACAGGCAATCAAACAACAACCATCAGCCAAGATTAAAATAGGGCTGTCCAACCTTGGCGACTTTAAGATTTGTGAACTTCAACTCCCACAATTCCCCCAAGCAGCCCTCCTGGCTAGGGAATTCTGGGAATTGAAGTCCACAAGTCTTAAAGTTACAAAAGATGGACACCCCTATCTTAAAACATCAACGGGAAAAAGTTGTGTTTCCAGTACTGAATGCATGGTTTTGTTTATAATCTCTACCCCTATTATAAATTAAGAATAACATAAGAGGCAGGAGGTACGTTCACTGCTTTAAATTATATATTAAACAGGACAGATAAAAACCCAATAATAATAGGTAAATTTTAAAAAAATCTAGAGGACCTGGAAAGCATTGTATGGTTTTCCTGGGCAGGTACAACACAGAAAATCTTGAAATTATATAAATTTGGCTTTGATTTCTGTGAGGTTTAAAGGAACCATTTTTTTTTCAAATGGACTGACAAGTGACTACTCTCATGGGAACAATTAGATTTATCAATGGATTTTTCAGATGCTCTCTTTACCTTTACACACCATATCTGCACCTTCCCATTTTCCTTTGGCATTGCAAACCGCAGTTGAGTTCCCACTTTCAAGGACATAATTAGGCTGACAGGTATAAAGGACTTGGTTTCCATAAGTGGTTTTATCCACAGGAGCTGACAGAGCATTTGGAATATAAGGTGGAGGTCCACAATCCACAACTGCAGTAAAGGGAAAGGAAAAATAAAATTTGAGATGCTTCTCCCCAATTTCTTTGACTTCCCGAGATCTACCAACTGGCGTTCTCTGAGAGAAAATATAAAACTCCAAGTCTCATTTTCCTCAGAATCAAATCCTTGGAACGCCACCAAGTGAACAAAATTTGAAGAATTTCACTTGCTTAAGAAGAAAAGCAACTTTGAAGGAAATGGCATTCCCTTCCCATTTTTTTTTAGTTATTCCCATGTGAATAGTTCTTTCCCCTACAGGGTTCAAATCTGTAGCAGACTCAGACTTATTGTGAGAAAAATACTGCTTTCCTTGGTAATATAAGAAAAAATAAATTAAAAATTAAATTAAATGGAGTTTTAAGACATTGAGCACCCTCTGCAGTTTTAAACCAATGTATTCTAACTTGATATGTTTAAATAACTGATAATCAGTAAATGCAGGGCTTTTTTTGTCATAGAACGCCCAGAACGGAGTTCCGGCACCTTTTTTGGATGGAACCTTGTAGGGTAGGCAAGGCGGGTTGTATGACGTGTGTGAATTCCGGCACCTTTTGTTTTTACAAAAAAAGCACTGAGTAAATGTAAGAAATGTGTTATTGACAGATGAGGAATACAAACCTTAAGTACAGAAAGATGAACTAATAAGGGAAAAAGAAATGAACACACTTAGTGTGGTTTATTCTGACACATCCAAAGAATAAATAAGTAATATATTAATTTTAGCAGAGCTAAGTAGTGTTCCATAAGGATGATCCATGCAGTGCCAATACTATACAAGTATATTTTACTGTTTCTGCTAAATATTGCAGATGTAAATTTAACTTGCACTACGTTCACTGTTTAATCTATTAATTATATGAGACTTTAAGAGAATCAGACACAAATGTGTTTTGCTCACAAAGTTTAAAATATACACAGTGAAAACAATCCATAACTGAAAACTAAAACTAATTGTACCAAGTGCTCTTTAAATTAAATGAAAACAGAAAAACATACGAATGATTTATCGTTGCGGTACTTACCTATACATGTTGTGCCATCATTGGGAATAAATGTTCCATGTTTATTGGAGGCCTGGAAGCCTACATGGCAAACACAGTAATAGCTTCCGTGTGTATTATGACATACAGCGTGCTCTCCACAAATGCCAGAAAGACATTCATTTTTATCTGACAATATATTTAAAATATATAACAGAGGTTAATCACATTAATAAAGAGTACAATTAGTATTATATAATAGGACCAATAATATTGTTCTACCACTCTAATAATGGATGAAAATATCCCATATGTGTCAGTATAATACATATACATCTAATCTGGAGCAAGTAGGCAATATTATTTTGTTACAATTAGCATGAATTAACAAGTGAAATAAAACTATGTATATTGTGAGACTGCAAAACTAACTGAAAAGGAGAGGATACAGTAGATCTGAATAAAGAGTCTGATTTTTGGAAGTGGAATTGATAAACACATTCAGGGAAGTAAAAGTATAGGCTTAATTATGAATGAAAGGGATAATATGTATGTTAGAAATTATAAACTAGCATCATCTGAGCTGTCATAGGGAAGTATCTACAGATTGGTGAATGTTGATAATGGAAGAACCAGATATGAGTTTGGGGGGAAATTGTGTAAGATGTTTAACAAATATGATCCAGAGAAAAATTATTAGGTGAGGCAAACGTATGGAAACGTTTGACGACCCAAGAATAAGAAAGGTGACTGATTCTTAAAAAAAAATGTTTGTTTCAAACACAGCTACACAGGGAGCAACAAAAAAGGTAAGATAGCAGAAGATCTGTTCTGATACAAACCATAGACCATTTGTTCATGTGAATAAAAGTGCAGGAATCTTCTCCTCCTTGGACATTGGTCCCTTGAGTATTAGATTGCTTGCATGATACAAGTAAAACAAATACATCAAAGCAGAAGGCAGTTGTGACTGACAGGAAGAATATCATAACTTGGTTACAAAGATCTTGTTGACCATAAATGGCAGCAAGGGAATAAAGTTTTCTGCATCTCTTTGCTGCCATCTAGTGGTCACTGGGCTCTTGCAGTTCAGATAAGAGGCATCTATTCTAGTCCCTTCTTGATTAATAAGCTAAATGATACTAGAGAACTCATCATCTCTCAAACTTATGTCTCAGGCTGGCGAGAATAAATGTTTCTATGTGTGTATGAGGATAGCATCGGCACTAGCAATAAGCTCCATTCATTGAACTTAGAGACTCTTTGAGACTCTTTAAAATCCTGACCACAATGCATGAAAAAATGGTTCAGAAATTTTGTCACATCGAAAGTCTGACTTACACCCTATTTTTAGATCCATATTGTATTAACTTGTCTATCTTTCTAAGAAGAAGAAGCAATTTTAGGAAGTGATGACATAGTGAAATAAATAACTGAAAACTGCATGCCAGAAATGATTACCATGCAATTTGTTCAGCAAAAAACATTTTTGTGTTGGATATGTGAGAAACTGAGAAAACACCAGCAATGTGGTCCTCGACAAGGCCTATAAATAAAAGAAGAAATGTCCCCCACCATCACCAAAGCCCTACCAAAGTTCCAGTCTTGAGTTTGCTTGTCCATTTACAGGTGGTCCTCGACTTACAACAGTTCATTTAATGATTATTCAAAGTTACAACGGCACTAAAATGTGACTTATGACCATTTTTCGCACTTACGACCTTGGCAGCATCCTCATGGTCATGTGATCAAAATTCAGATGCTTGGCAACTGGTTCATACTTTTGACTGTTGCTGTGTCCCAAGGTCATGTGATCTCCTTTTGCAATCTTCTAATAAGCAAAGTCAATGTGGAAGCCAGATTCACTTAACAACCGGGTTACTCACTTATCAACCGCAGTGATTCACTTAACAACTGTGGCAAGAAAAATAGGGCAAAACTCACTTAACAAATTTCTCACTTAACAACATAAATATTTGGGCTCAATTGTGGCTGTAAGTCGAGGACTACCTGTATTCATGTCAGAAGCATCACAATTAAAATAAGGCTTACTGTACAATATAAAATTTAAAATATAAAATACGAAATTAAAATATGTACAAGTTAAACCAGTGGTTCTCAACCTGTGGGTCGGGACCCCATTTGGGGTCGATCGACCATTTCACGGGGGTCACCAAGCAAGGCTGTCCGCCATTTTTTTTCCCTTTTCCGGCGGGTGCCTTACCTCCCTTGGGCTGGGCCAGCTAGTGGTCGGCCTGCTCCGTCTCTGCCCTTGCCAGCTACGCTTCGGCCGGTGCAGTGGGCGGAACCACGCATGCGCGGCACTCCAGGGCAGGGAAAGTCCTCGACTTACGACCGCTTGGGTAGTCCTCGACTTACGACCGGTTTAGTCCTCGACGTACGACCGGTTTAGTCCTCGACTTACGACCGTTTGGGGTCGCGGCATTAAAAAGGTTGAGAACCACTGAGTTAAACAATCTTGCCCAGAAACTAACATTAATGGCGTAGTGTCGTGCTGCCATGAGGTCAAGTATGCACTGATCAAGACACAAAGGACAGATATACATATGTCACATATACATATATCAAGCTAGGGTGAGTGAGACCCTTCCCTTCGTTCCATCCATCTGTTTCACTTGGCATCGTTTGTCTTCTACCTTTATCTTTTACGCTTTACTGATTTTAATGTATTTTTTTTAATTGTTGTGAACTGCCCAATTAAAATTGGGAGCATACACCTTTAATAAATTATTATTATTTTAGAAATCTTCAAAAGGGCTTCACGACATGACACAAGAAAGTTCAAGCAAAGCACCTCTCTTCAAATGGTTAAAGTAGCCACTTTCTTCCCAAGTTCACGTGGCAGCTTGAGAAGCTGTTCCTAGCTGTCTCTGCTTGCACAGCCATGCATAGCCTCTGATCTACAGAGGGGGGGGGGGGAGGAAATCCAAAAATGTGCATGGACAGGCCTGCTGAGATCCATGGGAGCAGCTCCTGAAGCAGAAAGGCAAACCTATAAATGTGCCTGCTTTGATGAATGAAAGAGAGGAGTTTTATTAGGAGTTTTATAAGAAGCATACTGAGAGATGCTTCTTAGGAAGGATTTGCAAAGCTGTCTTAGGAGGCAGGCAGACATTGAACTTGCCAGATTATATAATCAGCCCTCTAATCACATCATTACCTCCTAGCCTCCCCAGGGAATGGAGGCTGCCAAAGATCTATATAGGTAGTCCTCGACTTACAGCCACAATTGAGCCCAAAATTTCTGTTGCTAAGTGAGACATTTGTTAAGTGAGTTTTGCCCCATTTTAAGACTTTCCTTGCCACTGTTGTTAAGTGAACCAGTTAACACGCTTGTTAAGTGAATCTGGCTTCCACGGTGACTTTGCTTGTCAGAAGGTCTCAAAAGCTGATCACATGATCCCGGGACACTGCGACCGTCATAAATATGAACCAGTAGCCAAGCATCTGAATTTTGATCATGTGACCATGGGGGGGAGGTGCTGCAACGGTTGTTAAGTAATTTTTTCACTGCTTTTGTAACTTTGAAGGTCACTAAATGAACTGTTGTAAGTCGAGGTCTACCTACAGTTGAGTGTAGAGCAGATGCTCTGAAAAAGGACCCATTTTCCCCAATACAATAGCCCAGGCTAGAAAAACTTTTTAGATCAAAGATGGAAAACAAATTACCCTCACAATCCCCAGTGCCTGGACAAAGGGAAAAAAAACAGCCCTTGTTTTTGCCTTAGGAACGTATGAGAGAGGGAGTTAAGGGGAAATGGGTGAAGAGACTTACAAGGATCGATTCCAATGTTTAAACAGCAATGGATCAGGTTGATCTCATTCTTACTATTTGCTGGGAATCTACATAACAAAATGGGTACAGGTAGTCCTTGGCTTATGTTATTGTGGTCCCTAGTTGCAAGGCAGTGGTCTGTGCCTCCATGATCTGACTATCATTTTCAATGTATTTAAAAGCATATTGCTGTAGAAGTTGGATGCTGTTTGCAAATATTCACCTACCATGACAGATTGTTCTCCCATTTCCAATAAATCCATAGTTGCACTCACAGATATCTTTGCCATCTTTTTGTACACATGTGGCATTTGCATGGCAAGTAGCACAAACATCAAAAATTACATCTCTGGTGTTTTCTGCAAAAAAAGGGGAGTAAATTAAGATGGGAAGATAATCTATTTAGTAACCTAGACCACATTTTTCAAACATTTCCACAGAACCTTAGGATCCCCAAAAAGAGACTTCTGATAAGAGACTTCTAGGCGCAGTAATTAACTGACTGTACCCTAAAAATAGGGTAAACCTAAAAACCTAAAAAAACATGGTGAACTTGGAAAGAGTAGCAAAGAAGAGAAAAAGCAGGCATATATTTTAAAACGCATTAGAATAAAATATTTTAAATGGTTAGAATTTTTAGTGTTCTGTACATTGCTTTGGGCTCAATGAAATGCAGGATTTAATTTAATAAAGCAGTAAGAGAAATGCACCCAATATGTAATTAGCAGGGGATACTGACACACACAAGGGATTCTCAGATTAGGATTGTTAGATGAGGAGACCTAGATTCAATCCCTCATGGGCCAGTTGCTTTACCGCAGTCTAAGTTATTTCATAAGGCTGTTGTGAGAATAAATCATATCATGTTAATGACAGTTAATAACAATACAATGCACTGGATTATGATCCTTAAATTTAAAATCAGTAGTCAGCATGCCAAAAGATTATCTGGCTATCCGTGCTCAATTGTAGTGCAACACATTTGGAAGAAAGATGATCTGTACCAGTGTTTCCAAGACTGGGTTACTTCCAGATATGTGGACCAACTCAGCATATTTGTTGCTGAGAATTCTGGGACTTGAAGTTTACACATCCAGAAATCACCAAGATTTGGAAATAGTATCAGCTTAAAAGGTGTGCACAATAGGAATCATTAGAATCACCTAAAGAAACAAGGGAGGGAGGGAATTTTGGCATCCTCTGTTAATGAATTGCAACTCCCAGCATCCTTCACTACTAGATAAACTGGCTGGGTCTGCTGGAAGCTCCCCATATAAATCTTGCAGACTGGGGAAGTTTTGCATAACATATCTAGAAGAAAATTTTGCAATTTGGCATGAAGTACTAGGTGGCTTCCACCCACTTTTTAGCATGCAGAAAATAACTTCAACACATGCAAGGCAACATCCTCATTTTGGAGATGTTGGGCAAGCTCAATGAGTTCACAAACATCTCTCTCTCTCTCCACATAGTTTGCCACTGCTATATTTGGGGTTTCTTTCTATCGAGATTAGGACCCATCTTATGAAAAGGGAGGCACTGTTGTATTATTTTAAGGGTACTTTTACTCACTGAACAGAAGGAGGCTTGAAAGTTAGGGGGAAAATAGAATATGTCGGGGAAAATGTAATCAAAAAGTAGAAATCATTGTTATATACTACTCAGATAGGTTTTCCCTCCAAAACAACAGACACCTGATGCATTCTTGAGCCATTTATCCATGTGCATTCTACACATGACCAGAGATACTCTCTCAGCACTATTCAGTCAGACAGCAGAAGAGTAAGCAGGTGACTGGCCTTGACTTCACATCTGGAAGTCAACATCTGGGTTGCTTTATCATGTTGTTCTAGGGACTTGATGCAGCCCTGCTTAATAACAGAATTGGAAGGGATCTTAGAGGTCTTCTAGTCCAACCCCCTGCTCAGGCAGGAAACCCTATACCATTTCAGGCAAATGCTTGTCCAATCTCTTCTTAAAAACCTCCAGTGTTGGAGCATTCACAGCTTCTGGAGGCAAGTCGTTCCACTGATGAGTTGTTCTAACTGTCAGGAAAAAAATATTTTGCCACCTTGGGATAACTTGGAAAAAGCCGTAACCATAACGAGTAATATTTCTATTAATTAGGAGAGAGAGAGAGAGAGAGAGAAGCAGCAAATGTTAAGTCAAAATTTACCCCTGGCTCCGCCTGTAATTTACCCAACCCTACGCCGAATCCGGCCTCGGCTGCTTCAAAAAGCCAAGATCTTGGAGTCGGTGCTCCGAATTAAACGCTAAACTGAGCCGAAGTGTTGGATTTCAATGTGAACGCTTACCCCGTTTCTCCTCTTCCGCCGAATAGCGGGTCAGAAGCAGCAGCGCCCACAAGACCAGCAGCGGGGAGTCGGGACGCGGACTGCCCTGCCTGGCCCCAACAGGCCACGAGTTCATGTCGCCTCCTGCAGCGACCGGTTCCCGCCTCAATTCGTCTCGGCTCCGGGAGGCCCTGGCGCAGGAGAGAAGCCCGGCCTAGGCGCGGTCACCTTCCACTTCCTCCTCCCTCCGCTCCAATCTGTCTTTGCCCCCTTCCTCCCGCCGCTTGTCACCCTTTGTGAGTTGCAGGAAGGAAGCGCTCAGTCCCGCCGAGCGTGGGGAGTTGCTTGGCTCGACCTTTCCTGCCCCTTATATTGGGGTGCTCTCCTTAGACCCCCCCCCCGAGCCTCCTGGCATCTGAATTGCTCCCCATCGCCGCTCAAGTACCCCCCTCTTCCGCCTCCCTTTTGTGGCTTTTCTTTCTGCGAGCCCCCAACGAGCTTAACTGTTGCCCTTGAGTCTGCAGCAAAAAGCCTTTTTTATAGTTTGCAGAATTGGAGATCTGGGAAGGTCCCCCACACACACACACACACACCCCATTCCCCACTTTGCCCATGGCTGGAGTGGGAAAGTGAAATTAGTAGGCTGGGAACTGGCTGCACTGTTTTCATTTTTTATTTTATTTTTTAATAGGATCGATTTGCCAAGCGTTTGAGATCCAAAGTCTTTTGAGGAGTCCATCAATACCGTTTCTAAAGTGACAGTGTTGGAGCAGAGACTGTTGGAAATTCTCACCTTTCAGCAGAATTAATCAGCTGGAAAAAAATAAGGACGAAGCTCCCCTCAAAGAAAGTTGCAAATATAATATAAGTTATTATGTAAACTCTCCCACGGATACCAGCGAAGGGTTTAAACAACAAAATACCGTATCTTGATCTTTCAGTTCTGAACTATTTTTCGATAGGGTCATTCTATCCAAGTGGCTGAACTGATAAGAGTATCAGTTGACTTTACAAGGGAGTAGTTACTTTCAACTACCAGCCAGAAAGAAGATAGTATAGTGGTTTCTTATAGGATTTCATACATTTCATTGCTGTATGATTTTTCTTTTTCTAGCAGGTACTGTAATCCCTTTTCTTTTTCAGATAATCACACTTCAAAAAATATGTTAATACATATTTTTTAAAGGTTTGGGGAGTATTTCTAGCCTCCTTATCCCTTTCTCCAGAAGGTGCAACTGATAATAGTATGATTTAGAGCAGAGTTTTCAAACTGAGCAAGAAAGCAGCATACGCTGCCTTGTGTGTTAAAAAAACCACCTTCAATAGTGCAGTTCTAATCCAATGAAAGGTAGTGGGAATTCTGATGTAACACAAATAAACAACTTTGAGACTTCTAATGTAATTTGCTCATGGATCTCTTGTGTTGCCTTTGGCAACCTTCTTTCCCTTTACAAGTGTGGAAACAGCGTTTGCATTTACTTTTTACAATCAGTACCTAAATATAGCTTATGTTGACAATCTTACCTGTAAAGACAGAGGCGACATTAACTACACTCAATAGACTAGAGCAGAAAATCAACTCCACAGTTAGGGTAGAATTACACTTTATAGAGGTAGACTTTGATGACAGAATTTTCAAGTCTGCCTGTGCTGTACCTCTCCTCCAGGAATCCGGGAGGGAAGGAAGTCAGGCATTTGCCTAAACCACTTCTGAATATTATTTTGTTTCCCAGGTTTTAAAAAATGCTCCAGCCGCCTTGACTAGGTAACAGTTCCTACATATTTCTGTCAAGGTTACCTCCCTTATTCTCTACAGGTAGTACCTGAGGAGTAGCTGTCCAAGAAGGATCTGCCTACAATCAATCTTTGCAGAGTCATGCTGTCATTTCCTGAATGGTGCAGCTAGGATTTTGCTGAGTATCAAAACCCAAGAATTCCCCATGTAGTCCAACAAAGTGTGAGACAAGGGAGTTACAAATGGCCTCCCCAATCTGGCCTTGCATATTATTAATATGTTTTAGTCAGGTGGTCATCTGGAACAGTGTTCCAGATAAATCTATAAATTACAGCTTGCTTTCTTGCTTAGGTACCATCAAGTCAATGCCAATTCTTAGTGAGCACATGGATAGATTTTTCTCTCCAGGTGGATCCGTCCCCAACTTATCCTTCAGGGGTTTGAATGGTGCACCTATCCCCACTGTAGTTGAGTCCATACATTTTGCTTTTGGTTGCTCTCTTTTCTTTCACCATTCCCAGCATAATAGATTTTTCCAGAGAGGTAGGTCTTTTTAAAGTGTGTCTGATATATGAAGCCTCTGAAGTATGATAGCGGCGAAGTGATTTGTTCAATGATGTATTTTCTTAGCTATCCATGGTATTCTCAGGAGTGTTCTCCAGCACCAAAGTCCAAAAGCACCAACACACTTTCTATTCTGCTTCTTCAAATGTCCAACTTTTGCTTTCACAGACTAGCGCAGGGAAAAATATGGATTTCAGATTCTCATTTCACTTGGAGTTATTTTTTCTAAACCCAAGTGCTATTCCGCTGTGAGCATTGGAGAGCATAACCAGACTCCCTTTTACTCCTGTCATTCTGATCATTGTCTTTGATTTGTTCTACATCACGAGTACAGAAGTGGTTGTGACATTTAGGATGGAGGAAGGGGAGAAAGAGAAGAAAAACATTAGAAGTGTGCTTAAAAATAAAAGCAATAAAATAAAGCTTCCGAAGAAGCTCTTACAAAACCACTAATTCCAAGGTCTAAAGTTCTAAATGGAAAGATTGATTTCCATATTGGAGAAGAACCAGTTCAGGGGGGAGGGGGGGAATAAGGCTTACTCTGTTACTCAACTACAATTCACAGCAGCCTCAGCCAACCTAGTTACCATTAAGAAATGTTGAGTGTGACAATTTAGGAACATTAGGAGGTACATGTAATGACAGGAAATGGCCATAAAACTGGCCTTGATGGTCAAAATCGGTTGTTATGAATCTGACATTGTCCCCTCAAGGTTTTTTGTTTCACCTTGTAAAGAATTATAAATTCCACATGCCTAACGGCTTTTGCAGCCCCATCCCAACGAGAAGTTCCTGAATGGGCTCCTTTTTACAAGCCAGAAACAAGGGGATATAGGTGGCAAAGTAGTGATATGGTATCACTGGCAGGGAGTGGGTGGAAATATTTTGCTTGTTGTTAATTGCGAAGTCGTGTCCAACCCATCACGACCCCATGGACAACGTTCCTCCAGGCCTTCCTGTCCTCTACCATCTTCTGGAGTCCATTTAAGTTCACGCCTACTGCTTCAGTGACTCCATCCAGCCACCTCATTCTCTGTCGTCCCCTTCTTCTATTGCCCTCAATCTTTCCCAGCATTAGGCCCTTCTCCAATGATTACTTCCTTCTCATTAGGTGGCCAAAGTATTTGAGTTTCAACTTCAGGATCTGTCCTTCTAAAGAGCAGTCGGGGTTGATCTCTTCTAGGACTGACTGGTTTGAACGCCTTGCAGTCCAAGGGACTCGCAGGAGTCTTTTCCAGCACCATAGTTCAAAGGGCTCAATTCTTTGTCGCTCAGCCTTTCTATGGTCCAACTTTCACATCCATACATTGCAACTGGGAAAACCATGGCCTTGACTATACGCACTTTTGTTGGCAGAGTGATGTCTCTGCTTTTTAGTATACTGTCTAGATTTGCCATAGCTTTCCTCCCCAGGAGCAAGCGTCTTTTAATTTCTTGGCTGCAGTTTTTTTGCTTAACATGATGTTTGCAATTTTGCTTGGGGGTGGGTTTTTTTTTAAAAAAGAAGTTTGAGAGAACTCTATTTTCCTTTTATTTTTCTACCAGCTAAACTCCCCAGTTTCAGTAGAACATTCCATAAAGCCTTCATATCCTTCATCAACACTGTTAGAAATGAAACACAACCCTCTTGTGTTGTGTCGTGACATATCGCACTGGAGCAGAATTATTTGACTTTGCTAATGCTAATTTGGGGATACCTGTATGTGCCACTCCCTCAATTAACACAAATGTCTGGCCAGTGAAAGATTTAATCTAATCTTCCATCTGAGACGCAGGTAGAAAGATCCCTTGGTGCTCTCTGAACTTGGTTGTTTTCTTGAAGATGTAGATCCAAGCTAGGTAATGTCATCAGTGCTAGTAAGGAGTGGGGTTTACTCTCAGTTTGCTGAAATGTCCCTATGATGTCCTCACCAATAAAACACTGGTCATTTTGAAATCAGTCTTAGGAGAGCTTTGGCACTGAAATCTGCAGAAAACCTTTTGTTCAAACATTACAGTCTTGTCTTTAAAAGGATAATACAAGTTAACAATATCTCTTGTGCCCTTCAACATTTTACATTCTTCCAAGCAAAAACAAAAATAACAAAACTAAACAAAAAAAAGGCATAAATCTCTACACTGCAAGCTACCAAATAAATATGAAAGACATGAATGGTTTGGGCAGCAGTTGCCTTTTCTTAAAAAAAAAAATAATGCAATAAAAATTATTCTTCTCTAACTCAGATAAATGGAAGTGAGCCCAGAGCCCCAGTGAATACAGATTACCCATTCACAATGGAACTTAACATTTATTTTTATACGCTTTGCTGTCACTTGCTTCCTGCTGAAGGGCTGAGATGAGAACAGTGGAGCATGATGAGAGGACTGCCATTGTGCACATGAAATAAAGAGCAAATACTGTCCTTCTGGCTTGGTTGTAATCAGATTAATTAACAATTGCCTCCTGGTTTGCTGATTAGACAACCAGGCAAGCATAAGCAATAAAGTGTGCTGGAGCAGATAGAAATGAAAGTGTGTGTGTGTGTGAGAGAGAGGGGGGGGGGGAGGGAACTGGCTGGAGTCTCGGTTCCCATCCAAATGCTTCAGTGGTTATTGTGATGCTTGAGCATTTTTTCTGTAATAACATTGGCTGCAAAGGGAATACAATACGACACCCCTTATGATGTTAAGCAACATCTCTGTTCCATGGACAGTGTTTATTGCTTAGCATGCAGCTGTTGTGCTAGATTTAACTTAAACTGTAGAAATAGTCGTCAAGTGAAATCAGCATACTACAGGAAAAAGGAGGCTAGTGATGCTACAGTATATAGGAATATTAAGCAAAGCCAGACACAACAGCAAAGCTATT